CATTTTTCTCCAACGCTCTCATTTCTTCCATTACTGCTTCTCTCCAATGTGGAATCTCCAGGGCTTCCTGAACAGTTTTTGGAATGGATGTATTGTCTAGGTGAGTGGTAAATGCACGGTAACTGGTAGATAAAGTGTTGTAGGACATGAATTTAGAAATAGGGTGTAGAGTACATGACCTTGGTTGTTTTCTGAGAGCAATGGGTAAGTCAGGTTCATATATTTCTACTTGGTTTTGGGGTTTTGGGGTTCTGGAGCTACCATCAGTTCTGACTCTCTTGGTGCTTCAGTAGTGAGATTCTCCATGTACTTTGATTTCGGCTTTCTTGAGTAAACTAGTATCTCCTTATCATATTGTTTTTCTGCATCTCCCCCTAAATTCAAGTGTCCCTCTGTCAATGGCAGAGTAGGTGGGGTAGGTTCATAAGAGGAAGGTTCAGAAGAGGAGAGACTGAGATCGATGAACCTATCTTCATGTAAGGTCTCCCCTTGAAGAGAGGTGTTTCCGAAGTATGGAGTGTTTTCGAAGAAGGTGACATCAAGACTAACAAAGATTTTTTAGTGACAGGGTCATAACATCTGTAGCCCTTTTGTGTTGGAGAGTATCCAATCAGAACACATTTAATGGCTCGGGGTTCAAGTTTACTTCTGTGATGAGAGTGAATGTGAAGAAATGCGGTGCACCCAAACACTCTTAGGTTGAGATTTGAAGTGAGACGAGATGTTGGGAAATATTTATAAAACTGTTGTAGAGGTGTTTCAAAATTTAGAACACGACTGTGCATTCGGTTAGTGAGATAGGTGGATGTAAGAATAGCATCTCCCCAGAAAAAGTTAGGCATTTTTGTGGTAAACATTAGAGCTCGGCAACTTCTAGGAGATGTCTATTTTTGCGTTCGGCAATCCCATTTTGTTGGGGAGTGTCGACACAGGAACTTTGATGAATGATCCCATGTGTTCGGAGAAAGTCTCCTAGTATGTGATTGAAGTATTCAATGCCATTATCCGTACGTAGAATTTGAATCTGTGTTTGGAATTGTGTGTGAATCATCGAATGGAAGTTGATAAACATGGTACGGACATCAGACTTATCTTTTAATAGGTAGACCCAACAGACTCGAGTGTGATCGTTGATAAATGTAACAAACCATTTTGTATAAGTACGGTTTGGGACGCGGGAGGGACTCCAAACATCACTGTGAATCATGGTGAACGGTTTTGATGGTTTATAGATAGATTTGTGGAAAGATGTACGCTGATGTTTTGCAAGTTCCCAAACTTTACATTGAAAATTGACCGAACTTTTATTCAAAAAAATGGAAGGGAGTACACGTTTCATGTATTAAATGTTAGGGTGTCCCATTTTAAAGTGCCATAACATTTCACTATCTCTAAGGGCAAATGCAGAATCACATATGTTAACTTGACGCTGTTTACTCACGTTTGGCTTATCAAAGTAATAGAATCCTTCACTTTCCTCAGCACTGACAATCGTCTTTCCTGATGATAGGTCCTTAAAGACACAATGAGAAGAGAAAAATTTAGCAGAGCAATTTGAAGTTTTCGTTAACTGGCTTATAGATAGTAAGTTGCACGATAAATTTGGGACATGAATTGATTTTAAAGTTATAGAGTCAGAAATTTTAATACTCCCTTTTTCGGCTACAGACGACAGAGAACCATCGGCAATTTTAACTTTGAGATTACCGGCACATGTAGAATATGAAGAAAATAGGTTATGGGAGCCCGTCATGTGATCAGAAGCTCCAGAGTCAATGATCCAGGGTGTACTAGACTTTGTGGTGGATGTTAGGGCTCTTAAGAAATTACCTCTATGAGCCAGTGAACTAGATGGATTGGTTGTGGAGTTTTGACTAGGCGGTTGGAAGGGGGATAATAATTTGAAAAGTTGTTCCATCTGTTCAGGATTGAAGGCGCCACTGGACTCCCTGGGTTGTTCTCCTTGATAGTCAACCGAAGCCTGATATCCCCGATTTTTGTTTTGTCTTGGTTTCCAATTTCCTGGTTTTCCATGCAACTCCCAGCACGTGTCGTCTCTATGTCCCGATTTACGACAATGTTCACACCAGAGTCGTCCTTTTTGTTGTCTTGGATCAGGCCCATTTACGGCTCCTCTTGAATAAAGGCTCGTAATATCCGGCCCAATTACAGAATTTTTTCCCAATTCATTTGATGCACCCTTTTTAATTCCAGGCCCAACATTAAAAAACACAAAATTAGATGACCTGGGTCCAGCATTGAAAAGAACAGATTTGGACGATCCAAACCCAGACCACTTCAACGTTAGGGCTGAGTGTTCTGTTCCAGGCGACTCCATTGATCCACCACTGGCGTCCATCATGATTTTCCGCCGATTTTCTTCGTGTCTTACCTCTATAAAAACTTCCCTTGTCGACGGTAAGGGCTTTCTTCCGAGAATCCGGCCCCTAACGTCATCAAGATTACGGTGCAGCCCTGCCAAGAATTCAAATACCCGCTCGTTTTCGAGCTTTTTCTTGAATCGTGCGCTGTCTCTAGCACATTCCCACTCTTCCTTAGTGCTCAAGTCCAATTCTTGCCACAAAGCCGTCCTCTCAAGGTAATATTCGGTGACATCTCGTTCACCTTGTCGAGTTTGCGAAAGTTTGGTTTTGATTTCAAAGATTTGGGACGAATTTTCAGAATCTGAGTATGTCTCCTTCACTGCCTCCCAAACGTCCTTCGTCGTCGGTAGAAAGAGATATGTCTTCCCAATGGATGGTTTCATCGAGTTTACTAGCCAAGCAGTCACCATGGAATTCTCTTACTTCCATTTTTGAAGAGAGACGACATTGGTTGAGGCTGGCTTCGTTGCTTCACCCGTGAGGTAACCCAATTTTCCTTTTCCATCAATGATCAGTTTGATCGACTGAGTACATTCGCGAAAATTCCTCCCGTTCAGTTTTTCAACTGTTAATTGAAACGATGAAGTTTCCCCCGAACCTATGGTAGAGGTACCTTCAGACTCGCAGTTGTGTGAGTCAGAGGTTGTAGATTCCCTGCTGTTGGTAGGGGCTTCCGACATGATTTTGTTAGGTTAGAAAAACCACGGCTCTGATACCATGAAGAGAAAATTGAATATTTCTTTCTTATTAATTTACAAATCAATACATCTACTTAAGTACAAGGAAAGGAAAAATATAAGTAAAGAAATAATTCTACAATCTAAAAGATTACAATATTCCACACATGGAAAGATAAATCATCTCAAATCATTCCTAATCTTGACCCCAATCATTACATGATTTCAACATCTTTTTAGTGGTTTCGAAAGTATTTTGAATTAGTTCTTAGTCATGTTTAGAAAATTATGGTGTCTACATCTCTGATAGGTTTGCGGGATGTTTTTCTAATGGTATGCAATTTCATTTCTTAGGATAGGTTGTGTAGGGGTATTTGGTCGTCATCTTTGTAATTTTTCTATTTTGTTTGTATAGTTATGGGCTCCATTCTTACAGTATCTCGAGACCTAAATTACATTCTTAGTTCGTGCTAACAGTTTTGCTCATTTGACCATATTTGCAGAATCGGTTGCTTGCAATGAACTACATAAATGAGGGAAATGATGATAAACTATATGAGGCACACAGGTCTAGTATTCTAGCTTGTTTGTATAATTTATATTTTTATAATTAGTTCCACATGGAAGTGAAATAATTTCTCTTTTTGAGTGCCTAAAATCTAATTTTTCATCCTGTATGTGCATTTGTGTTTTACATGTATAGAGAGAGATGCCATTTGTATTCTGCTATTTTGTGTTCCTTCTTTGCTCTCCTTTTTCTTGCCACCTTAGAGGTTCTCATACTATACTAAAAATGAGAAAGACTGGAATACGAATCCAGTATAAAAATGAAAGACCTGCTACGTTGATGAACACCAAGTATGATTTCATTATGTAAATCAGTGGGAAGACAGGTTCAGAGATACAGCATTTTGTCCGCACTTACTACTACAAAAAGAGAGCATGATAAATTAAATACAAATGAATTGACTATATACATCTTGCACCATGAGTAAGCTGTCGATCATCTTATATAGACAACAACCAGTAGTTGATCAGTATTGGATATTTTATTTTTGAAATCCTTCCCACACAAGCATGCACATGAAACCTTGTCTTTTGAAATCAACAGTAAATATTTCCTATTTTGTGGATGCTTGAATGACGTGCATTTTAAAATTTTGTGGTTGCTTGATTCAAAACTATAATTGCAGGGACTGGGGTTGGCGCTTTATGAGGTTATTTTCACAGTATAAATCATGGGACAACACAAAAGATCCAGAGAGGCCTATTGTTATCGGATATGTGTCACCTGACTATTTTACTCATTCTGTATCGTATTTCATTGAAGCCCCACTCTTCTACCACAACTATGCAAACTACAATGTGGTTGTTTATTCTGCTGTTTTAAAGGTATAATTACATATCAGCCCCCTCTCTAATCCTGTCTAAGTTGTGCACATTTTTTGTTTACTATAGCCAGCCATTATTTAGCTCCTGTTTGGTTCAGCGAGAAAATCTGATTAAAATTTAAGTCAAAGTCAACAATTAATTCAAACCACATATTTTATGGAATCCAAGACTTTTCAACCAAACATTCCATCAACTTTCATCAAATCTACTGAATTTCTTATTTTTATCTAAACGAAACAGGACTTGTTTACAAAAGCTACATGAGGCTTACGCCTCGAATCTTGCCTCATGTGAGGCTATCATAAAATGCCCATTTAAAAGGCCTCAAGATGACTAAATTGTTTCCTGTTTGTCTTGCATTTTCTGGACATTCTATTACTTGCCTTAGCCTTTTGGACTATTTTTTATTTTATGGATTCATTTTATATTTGTTTGCAAGTTAGACTTTTAATTTTTTTTTTTTTTTTTGTTGTTGTTGTTGTTATTATTATTATTTTTACGAATTTCTTAAATTGTGTACGATTTATTATGGGCATATATTGTTTTTCTTCGAAATATTTGTCTATCTATCTTGAGGCTTATGCCCTGAGGCTCAGTAACTGATTTAACCTTACTAAACGTTGATGCCAGCTGTTGTGTTCTTGTTGACTGACAACAATTTCCTAGTCGTAGGTGCTGTCTTTTTCCAATTTTATTTTGAAAATGGATTTAAGTTTACTGCCAGTTCCAGTTGTTTGAGATGCGATTCTGGAGCGGAGTCAAAATTATTAATTTAATGATTGCCACTTATGATGCTACAGGCAGATGCAAAAACTAACAGATTTAGAGACGGTGTCTTGAAAAAAGGAGGGACATGGAGAGATATCTATGGGATTGATGAGAAAAGAGTTGCTAGTATGGTTAGAGAAGATAAGGTTGATATCTTGGTGGAACTTACTGGTCATACAGCAAACAACAAGTTGGGTATGATGGCTTGCCGACCTGCCCCTGTTCAGGTATCTCTGAGGCAAAAAAAAAACTTCATATGAACAGGATCATTTTTCTTTATAATGATGGTAGACCATGTCTTTTGGTAATTTCTTTAAGGCAAAAGAATTCAACATCAATGGGTATATTTAATCAAGAACTAAGGAACTTTGATATATTCTATACATAGTAAGCCAGATTTTTTGTAAATCCATAGCTGCAATTGCATGTTCATTCTGTTTAATCTTCTTCTTTGTCCAGAAAGTTAGCTTAAACAAAAAATTTCTAATTGCCAACTGGTCCTTGACCTTTCAGTTGCAGGATATGTTACATATTAATTCAGTGCAATCTGTATTACAGCATAGTCCCCTTTTGGCGTTGACTTTCTTGTTTCATCCCTATTTTGTTCCGTCTCCATAATTCTTGTGGTTAAAATTAAGTAGCAGATATTCTAACAATAACGGAAACAGAGCGGTGCAGTGATTATTACGACTCTGTGGGTAGGAGCCGCAGTGAGAGAACATGGCATGTTTGCAAAAAATTTACTCTTGGCATCAACCAAATACTTGACATCCATCAATTTTCGTGGAAGGATGAAGAATTTTTCCTTCTGAAAGTTCCAATGGATCTTCCTCTTGTTTTAGGGTGCTATGGGAAAGATAAAATATAGTGGGTGTTTGGTGTGGATTAAAATTAGATTTTTAGTAGATTGTGAATGAAGTTTTTAAAATGTGTGGTTGAAAAGTAGTGGGACCCATGAAAGATGATGTTAATATTAATTGTTTGACTTTGACTTAGATTAAAATCTAATTTTAATCCAAAACAAACAGGGCCATAAACTCATGTTATTCCTAGCCTGGTGGCGAAGGTTTGGTTCCCATAGATCTTTTAGAGATATTGATTGATTGGCAGACAAGGGAGTTTATTGAAAATGAGGCTTACTTGTTGATGGTGATGCCTTAAGTGAGCGTTTATATGCTTAATTGTAGGAGTTTGTCGAGTGGATTTGATGTAGCTAATTGTTATTACTCTTTCTGACCTTTCATTTACTTGGCTTGGCTTTATGATAGGTGACTTGGATTGGCTACCCAAATACCACTGGTTTGCCTACCATTGATTATAGGATCACTGATGAACTAGCCGATCCTCCTGATACAAAACAGAAGTAAGTGACACAGACAAGTCTTTCTCAAAATTTTCTTATAATGATCCTACTGAAAGCTGGATCCTAGAATTAGCTTGAATTAATTTTTTATGCAAATCATCTATTAATGGCAGGCATGTTGAGGAGTTAGTTCGATTACCAGAATCTTTTCTATGTTACACACCCTCCCCTGAAGCAGGGCTTGTGTCTCCAACTCCTGCTCTGTCCAACGGCTTTGTTACATTTGGTAGTTTTAACAATCTTGCAAAGGTATTGATGAGAATAGTATGTTCATCTTTTGTGAAAAAATGCAATAATATGAGCATCTGTAAACGAACTTATTTACTTTATCAGTAATGATAGTGTTCTTACTTTTTAAATGATCTGTGAACATCAGATAACACCTAAAGTACTGCAAGTCTGGGCAAGAATTCTATGTGCTGTTCCAAATTCCCGGCTTATTATAAAGTGTAAGCCTTTTTCTTGTGATAGTTTGAGGGAGCAATTTCTTTCGACACTGGAGAAGTTGGGATTAGAATCTCAGCGTGTTGATCTTCTGCCTTTAATTCTTCTCAACCATGACCATATGCAAACATATTCTTTAATGGACATCAGGTAATATCTTTTGTTCCTTTAGGCACTTGATGACGGAAAACATTGTGTCTGTAGCTTTTGATGTCTGTTGTTAACAGTTCAAAACCTCATATTGAACTGCATTTTCATGATAAATCATGTGCAAAGTTCTATTCCTGTCCATAAAATCTTAGATGAAGCCAAAATCACATGGAGTCATGTGATGTGACTTTGGTGTGTGCATGTTTTCACGATGCTTTTGTGTATGTCACTCTTTTCCTCTCTGTTTGCAATTTTCCTTTTGAAATTTTCTCTTTCTATTGTGCTGTGTTATCACAATAATCCTTGATCTTCCTATTTTTTATTATTGTTATTTTTTTAAGCTAGTTCATTGAGGCATGCAGAAGCCAGGTCATCTTTTTTGTTTGCTAAGGAGACTGAAAATGTCTTATGTGACATTCACACCCCAAGAACTGTTAACTAATAACACAATCTTGCGTGATATATTCCATCTCTGCATTTTTTGATAGGTATTCCATAGATTCTGCATTACTAGATTCTTTTGTTGTAAATAACATGTTAAGGTTAATGACAAGATTTTTCTATTTTGATGTAATTCAAAAAATAAGAATTTGACAATTGTTATCTTTTGTAGCTTGGACACTTTTCCTTACGCAGGAACAACTACCACATGTGAATCTCTTTACATGGGAGTTCCGTGTGTTACCATGGGAGGTGCAGTACATGCCCATAATGTCGGCGCGAGTCTCCTCACCACAGTTGGTACGAATCTTTTCTCTACAGTCTACACATGCAATAAATGCTGTTCACTCTCTCAAAGTTTCAAAGAATTGGTGACACATACCTGATACTTTTAAAATCCATATTATCACGTGTACCAATTGATTCTTATATCTAAACCCGTAATTACTGTGTATATGTTTATGGATTACCCTTAAGGAAACCAAGAACATGCCCCCAATTATTATTACTTCCTAACAAGGAAATGATGAAAATGTCATCTGTCTTGAATGAATATATATATATATATATATATATATATATATAGAATGTGGAAAGGACAATGGATCTCTCACTTATTTGGTACTTCTAGTTCAGGCAACATAGAATATGACTTGCATCCTAATTTGTAGTGACTGCTTGATAAACCCTATTGTTTGCATTACAGGATTGAGCAATCTGGTTGCCAAGAACGAAGATGAATACGTGCAGCTGTCACTACAGCTGGCCTCTGACATTACTGCCCTTTCAAGCTTGAGAATGAAACTGCGGGACCTAATGCTGAAGTCTCCTCTTTGTGATGGATCAAAATTCACCCAAGGCCTGGAGTCTACATACAGGAAAGTATGGCGGAGATATTGTACGGGGGACGTGCCATCTTTGAGGCGTATGGAATTGCAGCAACCACAGGTTGTTTCTGAGACAACTGACAATTTTGCTGACCCAACAATTGTGAATTCTGAAAACAACCCCCCTGGACCAATTAAGACGAATGGCTTTAACCCAGGGTCATCTTCATTTGGCAACACTCCAGCTGGAAAGGAAGCAGTTGAATGAGACAATTAAGTAATTAACACAACACACCCATTTGTTTATCAAAGAGATCTCTGGTGAATGACTAAATGATCCAGAGCATCAACAAGAGTGCTTTGATCAGTTTCAAACAAAATGTGCAATTATTGTAGCCTCCTGCGATATAAATTTGATGGGGTCTTTGACAGTAATTATCTGCCATTTAGTGCTCTTAGGTAGAAATTAGTTTTGGAGAAAGATTATAAAATTAGATGTGTAGAAGTGCTCAAATATATATTTGCTCAAGAGATAGAAATGTAGTGTACGAGGCATTATGGGGAGGATAATGGACTGTAAAACAAAATGACAAGTCCGTCTACCCCTTGATTAGAAATATGGCTTTTGTAATATATAGATATAAGGTGATGTGTTCCTTTGAAATTTATCGGGTTTTTCGAAGTCTTTGTTTAGGTGCTTAAATTTTGTCCTTTGGGCAAGATACTACTATTTTATGCTCTGGTACCCTATTCGGTGAATCTAGTTTTATGGTTAAAGACTTAAAGCTACAATGTGCAAGGAGCGTGCTGACATACAATCCAATGGTTTGAAATTGAGATTTTTGAAAATTAACTTTGAAGTACATTTTCCTTCTGTTGAAATATGATGTCTATTTTATAGCTTGTGTAAAAATATTAATATTCTTGTGACAAGTTTTAAATTTTAAAACATGACACGTAAAATTTTATTATTTTCTAAATTTGTAAGGATTATGTACATGATTTTTTTTTCTTTGTTCAAAATCATAATTTTTCTTTTTTTTTTAAATGTAAAATAAATTTAATTTAAATCACGTGTATTGATGGCAATGGAAGTTGAGGAATACAATCAATTTACCTATACCTATCCAGTCCTAGACTACCGAAGAAAAAGTCACCGCATTGTGGGCTACTATGTTCCCCTTGCGAAGAATGAAGCAGTAAAGTACCACAAAATGACATTGATAAGTAAATGGATTATTACAAAATCATCGCATTTTGGTGCACACACTTAATTCCACTAATGTTCATTCTCCTTCACAAAACTGGGATCATCTCTCAGTCAACCATCTCCTCATCTTCCACTTCGAATTGCCTAACCGTTTTCTTCTATTGAACCGCCACCATGCTCCGTCAAAAGCTGATTTTGAGACTAAGAAACTATTTTTTTGAACATATTCGAATAATCTTTTGTACGACTAGAAGAACTTTAAATGAATTTGGCCAAAAGGTCTACAAAAAAATAAAAATATTATCCAACGGACCTTAATAAAGTTGTTTTCTCCACTCACCGCAACATCCATATTTGACTTTTAGGGATTGCATTTATTCGGAACTTTGAAGACTTTTATAAACATTTTTTTAATTGAACATTTTTTTGTGAAATTAGTGGAGTTTTATAGATTTGTATTGAATTAATGGAAGTATTTCGTAAAGTTTTCATTTTAAAACTTTTACATACTTTTATAGAATTCATTTGACTTTAAACACTTTCAATTGATATATAAATCATTTGGATCTTAAGGCAACAATGAAAAATTCACATAAGGGGTGGAAGTTTGCCCCCTCCCCTTCATCTAATAATAAATATTTTTAAAAGAAGAAAAAATTTGAGTCACCTTAATTAGATAAATAAGTAATCAAAATATAAAAAATATATATAATATTTATCTTTGATAAAAAAAAAAGTCAAAATATATATAATATTCAGTACTATCAATGTGTGAAACCTTAAAAAAGTAAACAATCAATCAATATATTTATGGCTGGACAAAACTCTCGAATCGAATCAGACCGAACCAAAATCGAATCGAACAGAGCGGTTCCTCATAAGCTAAATACCCGAACGGGTATCTGAATCGAGAACCGATGGGTTTGAGTCTATTCTCGGTTCTGAACCAAGAATCGAAGAACCGAATCTAAATATTTTTTTTAATTTTTATATTGAATTAATTAAATTAATTTAATTTTTAAAACAAATTATTAAATCTTATTAGTTGAACAATTTTTAGTTTATTTGTATTTGTTAATTGTGTTTTTTCAATTATGCTCGTAGAGTTTCTACTATGACAAGTCAAACAATTGATGATTAAATCAAATAGTTGGTAAGTATTACCAATACTTTAAAATATTGTATTTTTATAACTTTTAATTTATATTTCATTTTCTTTATACAAGTTGTTTGAAGCAAATGAATTATTGATATGGATCACCGATATTTTAATATTAGTATCTACTTTTTGATTTTTGTATACGTTGAATTAAATTTATTGGACAGCTTGTTATTTATATATTTTTAAATTGGGTTATGTTAATCTGTAAAAATTACAAATGAACATGTCATTAGTTGTATTTATGTAGTGTTGTTGTAAATGTTAAAAAATTTAATTATGGTACGGAACCGACTCGAACCGACCCATGTCCACCCTAAATATATCTAAAACTTAGAGTGTGTTTGGTAGAGATTAAAATCGGATTAAAATTGAAAAATTAGTCGTTATTGTTGACTTTTATTAGAGGGATGTGACCCAATAACGACTATATTTTCAATTTTAATTGGATTTTTAGTGTTACCAAACAAGTTCTTAATTACAAAACTAGTCTTTTTTTAATATAAAATCTCATAAAATTTGGTTACAAATTGACGTTTTACATAAAAGAAAATGTATAAAAGAAAACGAGTGTTATAAATTTTTTAGTTTCAAATTTAATATTTTTTTCATAGAAAATTCGAAGAAACAATAAAAAAAGAGAGAAAAAGAAGAAAAAAATTCTAGGAAAGAGAAATGAATTCTTCTACGAAAGTCTTCCAAAATCTTGGGGAAAATGAGATATAAATTTTGAAATTTTATTTTCATACTTTCAACTTAAAAGTTAGTAATTTATAAATGTTTGCCCTTGTTTGGTAAAAATTAAAATTAAAATTTTAATTTAAGTTAAAGTCAATAATCAATTTTAACAATATTTTTTTATAGCAACATATTTTATCCAACTTTTATTAAAATTTAATTAAAAAAATTAATTTTAATCCACGCCAAACAAGGCGTATAAAAGTGCATTTTGAATATCCCATCCTTCAATTTAAAGCCACTTCACCCGCATTCTAGCATTTTGCCGCCGTCTATTTTTCTAGATTAATTGTTTTGAAGACAGCCTGTCTATAATCCTTGATTCAAGTTCAAGTAAAAACAAAAACCCTAAAATCAATGCAAACAGTCAGAAGAGCGATTGTAATTGGCAACGGTTTTGCGGGTGCAGAAAATCAGTGCATCGGTTTGGTTCGAGCTCTTGGTCTCTCCCAAAACTACACTCTTTCTGTAAGCACTTTTCCAGTAAACGAAAAGAAGACAACTGAAGAATCATAAATATATTTTTGGCCATTTTTTAAGTTTTTTTTTTTATGTAAATTATACGCGCTGTAAGTATTCAATTGGGTGTTGATATTTTCGGGTTGATTACACTTTGATATGTTTACTAGATGATTTTTTAATTAGCTCATAGCAGTGTTAATTTTTTGTTTGTCATTACACACGTAGCGCGTTACTAGGCCCAGAGGAGGAATCAATGAGAGGTTCCACTGGTTGCCTGTTACTGTCCACAAAAGGCTGGAGCAGGTTGTAAAGTGGATTCGTGGATTTTCACGAATCCAAGGGCAAAAAGTGGTGCCCCTTCAAGATGGAGAGAGAGGTAGTATAGGTTAATCTACATTTCATTTTGATTATTAGAACAGTTCTCATAGTGTAAAATGGCCCTGGAATCTTCACTAGATGAAAATTTATCTTTTCTTTTTGCGGTGGCTTAAATGGTATGCGTTCAGATATTTTAGAAGCAGATGCAAGACATATTGCAAAAGTTGCTCGAGAAACATTTGAGAGGTATGCATTGTTACTTTTCTTATTGACTTCTATCCCAAAATTTCATTTTGATTTTCTCTGTTTGATTATTGATTTGTTTTCTTGAATGCGGTCTCCATTCTATGTATCAAGGTACAATCCGAATACATTTGCACTGAAACATTGGGAAAGTTGCACATTGCGGATAAATGAACAGAAGTGATAATGCCTTTCTTTTTGCGTAATATTCTATTCTTCTAGGAACTTGCTAAAACATGAAGCTACATGCCGAGCATTCTTTTGTTCGACCTTCGGTGATGAGTTATTTGTCTTCGTGCATATCATAGAGATTATGATTTTTCATTTTTTTGAATGATAAGAAAGTGCAACATCATATGTTTGTGATGCGATGGTTTCTTTGTAATATGATGCTTGTACTATACCTAGATCTTTGGATGTAAACAAGATCTTTATATTCACATGGAATCTAAAATTTTGTTGCAGTCCAGCTTCTCCATTCCTTCTTCAGTGGTGATCTGTTTTATAAATAAACTTGATTTACATCTAGCGGATACTAGGGATGATACTTCTTAAACTTGACTGCGCATATTATGATCCACGTACAGATATTTGCATGTGTGTATCTGTTGGTTTTAAGCTTTTACTTTTGTAACTTTTTAGGGACGGCCCCATATTGGTGGTAGCATCTGGCCGTGACAGCATTCCTGTTTCAAGTTCCATTAAACATTTAGCCCCAGAAAATGTCTTCGTTGTTCAGGTTAGATGAGACTCTAAATAGGTAACACACTAATATGGAACAATTGCCATTCCTTCACTGCTGGAATATGGATCTGACATGGAATTATTGCATAATGCTTTGCAATCCTAAGCTCAGAGAGATAAAATTAATAAAAGTTCTTGCCATGTACCTGACTTGGTACTAAATTCTGTGAACAGCATAAATGGTTTATCAATTATCAGTGTGAATAGAATGTATTGTGTTCTCTGCTTTCGATTTTCTTTTGCATATAAAGGGTACTATATAACTCAATTTTGTTTCTGATTATCCAATGTTTAATAACTAAACATCTTATTCCAGAGTACTCTTCAATTTTTCTTTCCAAAATCAGTGTATCATTTAGATTTTATATGTTTTAAAATGTCTGTCTCTTTTACATTTCTATATTCTCATTCACAAAAGCATCTTCAGATGCGGAGAAATGGATACAAAGTTAATGTCAGAAACATCTTTTGCACTTGTTTTTAGCTGCCTAATTTAATTTTGATATTTTTCCAATCACTGTGCAATTTGAAAGATAAGTTTGCATTTGAGGTGTTAAGTATAGTCATAACTCACAAGTCATTGAACCAGGCCTTTGAGTTTACACATTGGACTCTGATATTTTGTACAATATGCTTTCAGATACAGCATCCTCGGTCACGTCTACACAGATTTGATCTAGTTATCACACCTCGTCATGATTATTACCCATTGACGCCTGAGGCACAGAGACAGGTCCCTTGGTTTCTCAGAAGATGGTTAACACCTCGCAAGCCTCCTGACAAGCACGTGGTATGATCTTCCTTGATTTGATTAAAATATTCTCTAATGGAGAAATTTTTGTGGTTATGTGCTTTCTTTGATTTTAACGTGTATAGACTTTGCCAATCTAAACACTTTTACTTTAGGTCCTTACTGTGGGAGCCATTCACCAGGCTGATTCTGTTGCGTTGAGAAGTGCAGCTTCTTCTTGGCATGATGAGTTGGTGCTGTTACCAAAACCGTTGCTGGTGGTCAGTGTTGGAGGGCCTACAAGTAAGTTATGCACTTAATCTTGCGAAGATCTGTTTTCCCTCCCCATGTTAAAGCTGTTGACTTTTAAAAAATAAAATTATGCTATTGCCCACCAATGGATTTTGACAAGTAGAGGTCTCTCCACTCTTGTAGAGCTCCATGTGATGTTTTTATTAATGATTTTTTTTAAAGTTGGAATTTTCCCCACTTTAATCACAATTCAATGTTTTTTGGCCCACTATTGCCCAATTTCCAAATTACCTGGGCACTAGGCCCAATACCGAGTCGAGTCTTCACTTAGCCACGTTATTCTTTGGTGGTTTACGCCCCTAGTCTCAAGTTTTGATATCGAATTAACCTATTGGTGCAAATAGTTTATTGGAGAGAATTGAGTGATTTAGGCCCTAGAAATAGAAAAACTGATTTGACCCTCAATCTCGGAATCCAGTCTTCTCTGCTCTAGAATAGAGAAAGAGATGAGGAAGATATGGGCCATATGGCTGAACTGTTCACGTTTTACCATGAAAAGCGACCATTAACTATGAGTACCTATTTTTAAATAGCAACCTGACGCAAAAATAACTAATGAAAGCAAGCCCACAACTTTGAATTAGGGATTTTGTAAAAGATAATCAATATATGTGGGATGGCTGATAAGATGTTTCTGTCAAGTGTAAAATTATCATGGGTACCGTTTTCATTTAATCTCATGCTGTCACACATCAATGGAATGGTTGAGATTTTAATACAGAGTTTTATTGCTTTTCTCACTCTGTTAGAACCACAGACACTGGCTCACCCACCGTAAATTCAGTATTGTGATACTATATGTAAACCAATGCTTTTCTATGCAACAATTACGATTTTCTTTTTATCAATTAAAACTGATGAGTGATGACATAATGACTTTTCTTGGTCGGGTCACGTTGGTTCATTCATGCTCTTCTCACTCACCTCATATATTAGTCACACAAAAATCAATGCAGTCAACGTTGCTCACATCCTTTCTCATAGGTCGTTGCAACTATGGTGCGGAGCTTTCGAAGCAACTAGCAGCCTCCTTGCTGAATGTTCTTCCGACTTGTGGGAGCCTCAGACTATCATTTTCTCGTCGAACACCCAAAACTGTATGTATTGCTTCTCACAGTCCCATTTGGCAATTTATATAACCGTAAATGCTCATTTGCGCTGTAACTAGCAGGTTTCTGATATCCTTGTGAGTGAACTTGGCAAGCATCCTAAAGTCTACATCTGGAATGGTGAAGGTACTCATTTCTCTTTCTAATTGTTTTTATATTATTACTTAAGAAGTAATGTTCAGTTCTGCTGGGTTGCCACTAATGTTTCATAAACTTGTGCGCCCAAGTTCAGCCAAAAGGGACTTGTGACACATGGTAGGATACTTAGCAGTCAATCAAAACTTTAATCCCTCCAATCGTTGAAAAAACTCGTTTCGAAAATTTCTGATTTTACACATCCTAACAATGTTGCTTCAGTTCATCACTTTGTTCCCGATTCTATGAGTCACATGATATGAATCTTTGCGACTCTTTTCAGATCCAAATCCGCACATGGGACATCTGGCTTGGGGTGATGCTTTTGTCATCACAGCTGATTCAGTAAGTATGTTGAGCGAGGCTTGCAGCACAGGGTATGTAACAATTATGTCTGATTGCAAAAACTATCATTTTTAAAAATTAAAATTTACAGTTAAATATTCTGTTTCCGTCTTAAGTTTTTGAATTGTAGGAAGCCCGTTTATGTATTTGGGGCCGAGCTGTGTACATGGAAGTTTGCAGATTTCCTCAAATCCCTGCAGTATAGAGGAGCAGTCCGACCATTCACTGGTAAAGAAAATGTGAGTTGATTTTGCCTTGTTTTGCTCTTATTCGTGGACGTCAATTTATGACTGAAAATTTGACAAAAAGTCAAATTCTACTATATTAACAAATATACTTATCCTGATAGTAGCACATAATGCAAATTTCACATTATCCTAATTTAAAACTTGATGACCAGATTGCTGAAAGTTGGAATTATTCTCCACTAAATGATACTAAGGAAGCAGCCGATGAAGTTATGAAGGCGCTTGCAGAACGTGGGTGGAGATTGCAATGATAATGAGCTTTCACATGACAAACGTTTGGTATGCAGGACACCACACGATAGGTTGATACAAAGATAAATATTTCACACGTGTATCTTCTTTAGTCCGGTCGACGATACCAAGTATGGCCTTAGTGGAGCCAAATGGAATTTTGTTTCTTGAAATACATATGGTTGACCATTTGACGATTGATTGTGAAATAATACTTGGTTATTAATTACTGCTTGGATGATTAAATGTTGAATTGTGCAAGGAAGATGAACAAATGATATACTTGCAGCTAAGCAATTCCTTAAATAAATAAAAACAAATGGTCAACCAGATTGAGCAAAGCCAACGTGGGAATGAAGCCCCTGATGCATACTTTAATAAAATATATATGGAGACACCAAATATGTTAGTTCTTGGTGGATTAGAAGGTATATATTGACTAATCATCCAAATTATTTAATTTCTTGATATTCTTAATCCACCATTACTTTAATTTAAGTCAATATATACTATACCTGCCCCAATTTCTATGGTATATTCTGTCCTGGAGATTCAAATAATAAGTTAAGCAACAACTCTTCTTGCTCCATTATCTCTTAAAACCAAATCTTCTCACTAATCACTATATAAAGATCCATCTTACCCCCTCTATTGGCATTCTCATTATAAGCTCTGAGCTATACTAGCAATTAAAGAAAAAAAGAAACAACTCTCTCTCTCTCTCTCTCTCTCTCTCTCTCTCTCTCTCTCTCAAAAAGGTATGGCGAAAAATGAGTCGACTCCTATTGATGTTGTGGAGACTAGCAAAGAAAGGAAAGGAAAAGCACCCCTTTCGGGAGTGGAGCATGCAAGAGGAGGATATAAGAGAGGCATTGGCATATTCGACTTGATCCTTCGAATAAGTGCCTTTGCATCAGCTTTAGCTGCAACGGTTGCAATGGGAACGACCGAACAAACCCTTCCCTTCTTCACACAATTCTTCCAGTTCCAAGCAAGCTACGATGATCTCCCAACTTTCTCGTAAGTGCCCTTAGGCTAGAATTTTGTTATGGTGTTGAACCACCTCATTTAAAAACTTAATATGTCAAAGAGCCATAAACTTATTTTCTTAAACTCAAACATTTGATACTAAGTTGAACTACTTCGTATAAAAATTTGAGCTGTTAACAAGTAAACTCACTTATTTGTCCAAATTATGTCACATGCAACTATTTCACATACTTTGTAGGTTCTTTGTGATCGCCATGGCAATCGTCACAAGCTACCTTATTCTCTCGATTCCCTTCTCCATCGTGTGCATTGCACGTCCTCTTGCAATAGGCGCAAGGCTCCTACTAATTATCTTTGATACTGTAAGCTTCCTCTAACATATAATAACATTTACTAAAAATAATCACATCGAGTTTTCATTAAAATCTTTTGGTTGTTCACTTGTTGTAGGTGATTGTTACTTTGACTACTTCTGCAGCAAGTTCATCCGTAGCCATTGTATATTTGGCTCACAATGGGAATTCAAGTGCGAACTGGCTTGCAATATGTCAACAATACGGTGATTTCTGCCAGAAGATTAGCGGTGCAGTGTTGGCATCCTTCATTACAGTGGTTCTCCTCGTCTTTATGGTGGTGCTGTCAGCCATTGCTCTCAGAAAACACTAATTTGCAAGATTGTTGTTATGTGTTGATATTTATTTTCACCTTTTCTTTTTCTGTTATTTTCTGGTTCATAATTTCCATGGTTGTTTCGTGTTTTGTGGATTGCATTCTTTCTGTAAAATTAACAAATGTATATCACATTTGTACGTTGCTAAATTTCATATAGATTCAATATGCTACAAAGCCATACATACATAAAAGTTGAGGATGTAGACATCAAGATTCAAATTTTAGGAACCTATATGCACAAAATTCATAGGTCAAGAGCCATAGATGCAATTTCCCCCTAATCATCACCAAGTTTTGTTTTTATAATATTTATTGGCGAAAATCATAAGGTCAATTTCATCAATCATACAACTTCTGTGTCCACAACTGCAAAGCAATCGAAACAATAATCTGCCCCACCGTCTCTCTCTACAGTCTACTACTTTATATATATACTAGTTTTTACCCGTGCATTAGCAATCGAAACAATAATCTGCCCCACCGTCTCTCTCTACAGTCTACTGCTTTATATATATATATATATACTAGTTTTTACCCATGCAATGTACGGGTTGTGTTATTTTTAAGTCAATATTAGCGTTTTGAATGTTAAGATGAATTAGGAGATTGTATTTCAAATTTTCTATCATAGAAAGATTAATTGGTTTGATTTAATTCAACTTCAGAATTTGATTTCTTGTCAAATTGAAGAAGTTGCTATTGTGAAATTGAAATTACCGGTTTTTCATTGGCCTCTGCGGGGAGTTAAATCTGCATTGTGCGGAGTGGCACTCCTCATGAAAAGGAAAAAAAATTGGTGAAGACTCCATATTGTGCGGAGCTGAGCTCCGTATAATGCGGAGTTGGAACACCGCACAATGCGGAGTTGAACTCCGCACTATGCGGAGCTCAGCTCAGCACAAGTG